AAAAAAACTAGCAGCACAAGTGCCAGCCGGGGTCATTACTGCTACATTGCTTATCCAGTAATGGATTTTCCTCCCATCTCTTCTTTGACTGTCTTTCTCTTCTTTGTCTTATGGTGCAACTGGACTAGTGGGGTTTACATAAGCTGTACCTTGTAGACATTTTATTGAAGAAGAGTATTAATTTCTTTGTCTGAAAAATAGTTTGTTCGCTATAGTGGTAAAGCCCAGCCACAGTGCTGCAAATCATGGCATGATGCTGGACAATTTGAAGAGTGTTTCTGTAGCTGATTCCGCTCAATGGCAAAGTACCTTCACATTTCTTATATAAGCACCTGAGCATCCCCTGTCACCAAGGCAGCAGCCCATTCTTTATACTGACATAGCTGCCACCTGAGCCCCAGACACCGAAGATTTAGTCTAGGGCTTTAGAAAAATATTAATTTTAGCATGAGAGTGGTGTCTTCAGTTCAAAGTTCTGGTGGCTATTTAAGGGAGCACAGCAGCACTGGGGGAAGATACCAATTGTGTGCTCCTTCAGTCTTGAGTTTTAATGATGACTTTTCCCTGCTACAGAGTATTTGTCCTATGCAAAGATAATACCTTTGTCAAAAAGGAATGCAGATTTTCTGTCAAACATTGATCAAGTGCACTTCTTGGGTCTTTAGACTTTAATGAAATCCATTAAATGACCACACAAGTGTGAATATATCACGTAGAGTGACACCATTTCCATATTAGTGGACAACCTCTGTGCTCACTACTACCCTTGAGCTCAGGGTTACTTGACAATACTACTGTTTGTTAGTGCATGTGGTTTTATTTTGTCATGTAGATGCAGAACACGATGTAATAATTTTACTCTGCTTTTTGTGATTCTGTTATGAGTCTGGGTTGTAGTTGCATATCCAATCAAATGCCAGTTCATTTAGTTATCTTTCAGGAAATATTTATGTTCAAGCCCTTCAGAGCACCTGGAAATATTTATACTTTAGCATAAAATACAGTTATCTTTCTGAAGAGGTAAATAAGATAGTGTGTAGCCCCAGATTATGATTACTCTGCCTCTTTATCAATTTTGAATACTAGTTCTTTTTAAACCTCCAGGCCTGTGGGCTGTTTAGTGGCCTTTTGTGTTGATATTATCCAGAAAACAAGGATATGTCACTGATGTAACTATTAAATGAATTCCAGAATACTTTAAAAAAAAACAAAACCCCAACAAAACAAAACAAAAACAAACAAAAAAAAACCCCAAACAACTGGAGGAGGAGCAGTGGCCTATGTAGAGACTTTGAACAGTGCAGCTAATTTTATTGGCAGCAGGGATGCAGATGCTGGAGTTTTGACCAATTCCTTGAAAAAGTGCCACCAGATTTGCTATCTCTGCATGGTAAAAAGCCAAAGACTTGCAAGCAGTATTGGATTGAGGGAATATTGATGCAGTCATTCATCAGCAGAACTTCAGTGTTTTTGAAATAAAAGTATGAGAAGAACACACTTTAAGGCTGAAATCTGATGCTAATTAAAACAGTGCTCTCAGCAAAAACAGGATTTCAAAGACAATGGAATAAAAGGTAGTGAAGACAAGATGTTAAAAGAAACACGGATATGTATCAATGCATTTTCTACTAGTGTTTCTTTTTTTATATATATGTAATATGTCTAAACTTGTTTTTCAGCTCCCAAAGGAGTTGGAGGAGGAGAGGCCGAAGGGCAAAGCAAGATTGCCAGTGCAGGGCCGTGGGCAGGTAGATGTCCTCAGAATGCCCCGTATCACCTGGTTTATTGACCAGGGTGAGGCAGTGGTGCTCTGCATGTCAATGCAATGCAAATAAGAGCTGTTGCATACGAGAGGCTTTTAACAGAAGTGCGAGCTCATTAGTTTCACAGTTTACTCAAATCAGGGTGGTTAGGAAAAGATGCAATAACTTTTGTACAGGGATTTAAAAAAGAAAGGAATGAGGGTAGCCTTTGTTCCCACTCATGGATAGGTATTTGTTGCTTAAATATTCTTGTAAACTGGAAAGTGTTTGGGGGCATAAATGCTTTAAAAAAAAATAGAATGAAATGTCCTAATTAAATTGCAAGCTAGAACAAAGGCACTATGTCTAGCTTTACTATTAATTGAAAAGCCTGCAACCCAGTTCCACGAGAGAAAAACCAATGAGTAAATAAATTGGAGACTGCTCCTTTGTTTTGTTGATGCTGTTTTGGCCAAGCCAAGAATTCAGCTATCCTAAAATGATCAAACATTGTTTGGAGAAAAAGTGAATTTCCAAACCAGCCTCATTATCTGAGAGAAGCTTAAAAATATCAATTAAGGTAGTGTAATTTCTCTCTTGCCTACTTTAGTCTGCAGAGATGAAACTGTGGGAGTGTCCTGCTTGCTTGCTCATTGCTCTTTTCAAAAGAAAGACTAGAGTTTTATCATAATAGACAAATCCCTTGTTAGCTGCAAGGGAGAAATAATTTAATGATGAGGGGCAAAGTGCTGTGCATCTTAGAAGGAGGCAAATGTACATGCGTTCACCAGTATTACTGTGAACTCAGAAAATTCCGTGATGGGTAGGTATCTGTCAGCCAGTTCTGTAAAACTCCATTTCTTGGAGAAATGGAAATAAATATTTTTTTTTATATTACCTATATCTGAGAAAATGCTTTTCTGCTTACATATGTGGTCTGTAAGTATTTACATGAGAATGGAAAAATATCAGAACAGGGTAATGTGATCACAAAGAGAAGTAATTTTTCTGATTTCACTTTTTAAGCACCAATAGGTTTTCCCTAAAAAGCTTTAAGTAATGGTAATATGTAAAATTAATGTGCAACTGTGAGTTGACATGATCAATTGTAAATGCTCCAAGTGATTGTGGGTTTGTTTTTTGTTTTTTGGTTTGTTTGGGTTTTTTTTCCCCCCTGATTCTTACCTTCCTCCTACCCAATCACTTTTGCAACTTTAAATGGCCTTGTAAATAAGTGGAGTGTAATGACTTGTTTGGTCAGCAGTCAGCACATGCAAAATCTCCAGCCCATGCATTATGTAAACAAAAGACCTTTAGACCCAGCATGATTCTAACGATGAAGCTTTAACTTTAAAAAGTTTTAAATTAGCGTTGTGTACATGTTTGTAGTTTCATAACATACACTGTAGAGTAATCCTATAGGCCAAAATATAATCTGTCACAATACGATCAGTACATTTCTATTGAACAAAGGGGCCTTACTGCTTTGTTCTGATTTAAGCCCTTTGGCTGTACCAGATATTCTGTGTCTGCTCCAAACCTTAAAAATCAGCTGCAGAAGACAGTGTGATCTCTTGCAGGAATGGAGGGGTTCTTTTTTGTTTTGATTGTTTTAGGGGGTGCATTGCCTTGTTTCCGATAAGAAGAGAATCATCAGGGAAGGATAAATAAAAGATACTATGTGATTAACTTTTAGTTCTGAAAGCATTACTATTTTTAAAAATCCAGTCTGTATTTCTCTGATACACATTCTCTGTTTAAATAAGCCATCATGTAAAAGCCGAAGACATCTTACGTGAATGAGGAACTTGCCCTCCTTACAGTTAAAACTGTAGTGCTATCTCTATGTGTACAAGTGCTATCTCTGTTACGATGTGTTTCACTTTGTGAGGAAGATTGAGAGCTGTTGTTATATGAATGTGGTTTTCATATACTCAGGAACACTGTGAAAATGTGGATTATGGCACCTGTAAAACATTAGTGATAATTTTTTCTTCTAGAAAATATAGACCATGTTGCTATTAACATAGAAAAATAATGAATCTCAAAAATAATGAAACTTTAAAAAATAATCCAAGTTCTGTTTTTATTTACCTTCAGGTAAAGCTTTTATATGTATTGAAGTGTTATTTTCAGTACTTTTCCTACATCCTTGAGAACTAGAGTCTTTTGATTTTAAATTGTGGAATTCACACGTTACTTGGAACCACAGTTTTAAGAAAAGTATCAGCTATCATGAGACTCGTAAAACTGTACAAGTTGGCACTGGTGTATATTCTAGCTGCTAAGTGTTATAAATTGATTTTGTTGTTGTTTTTTATTTCTTAGTTTTCTGAAATAGATTTTGTTTCATCTGCATGTATTAGGGGAAAAAAAGATCAATCTTGTTGAAATTTTATGGAGGAATATTTCGTTAGGAAGTAAAGAGTTTAGCTTCACATAAACCAGTTGGAATTCCCCAAAGCTGAAAGACATGGATGCTTGCTGTAATAAAGCCACTGAATGATGGGGAATACCTTAACGGCTGATAAAGAAATGATTTGCAATATTACCTAGTGCTGCACCAATACTCAAGTTCAGTGAGTATTTAGCATATTTTATGGATAAAGCTATTGCTGTTTACCATTCTGCTGGTTTAAATGAGCACATTGACAAAAGCAGATGCAAGGTGGTTGGGAATACACTTACAGAAAGTGCTTGTCGTCATCCACAAGTGCCTGACTTTTGGCTGCATTGGGTTGTGGGATCTCTTGGAGCTGCACGGACCACCTCTCTGTAGACAGTAGTGGCAACAGTCGAAACAAAGGTTTGCGTTGCCCCAGATCTCATCTCCAGCAGTAACTATAAGCACATGCCTGTATACAATGTTCTCCCCAATGTTCTTCCAGCCATTGGCAGTCTCTGGCTCAGGGACTTCTTGAGCTAAATGTGGTTTCTGTGTCCCATGAGCTCATCTTGGCCTCTCTGCGTGAGCCTTTTACCACCCATAATTTCCTCTGATAGTGCATTTCACGTAGGTTCCCTAAGGTGAGGATAATATGTTTGAAAATAGCGTTCTCTTGTTAGTAAGCAAAAATTTTGTGGGGGTTGGTATGTTTTTAGCTGAGATTTGCTGTCATGGCTGATGCTGGCAGAAAAAGGTGTTTATTTTACAAGAGGAAAAGGGAACTGAATGGCACATTTTTATCCATCAGGACTGTTGAACCTCCTGGCCGTAGTTTTGATGCTAGAGGTACTGCTGTGACACTATTTTCAGTCTTGTTTCTGTTCTGAGGAACAAATGATTAAGAAACAATTTCCCAGTCTCTTCAGTTAAGACCCCTCTGCCCGCAAAAAGGAATGCATTCTGTGCAATACAGTATGTGATACTTTAATAATGTATAAATCAAGTTGGACAGAAGCTGCCTGTCAGTTTTATTAACTTTGACCTTTTCTCCCATTATAGGGATGGTTTGGTAAATATTTAATGGCCCTTATAGATTTTGACAGTTGGATCTGCATTCCTGGGAGCAAAGGTAGATTCTAAAGAAATACTTATAATTAGTAAAAATAGCTTAATCACTGGGAGTCAGTCTTCAAGGACAGAATTGTTTTTTAGAATATATTTATTTTTCATTCTTTTTTTAATGCCTGACCACTAAACGTCAGACTAGCTGGGAGGTTATAAATTTTTTTTAAAAGGTTGCATTTAAAATTCATCTATGATTAGCATCTGTGATTACCTCCATCTCCGAGCAGGTGTCCAAATGATGTTATTTACTTGAAATACCTGTCCATGTCATTCTGCATAGTGAACATAAGTGAATGGTGTGAACAGCACAAAATGGCTGAAGGAGGGCTGCTCGTAATAAGATGCAAGAAGAAAAGGGAAAAGCATGTTCCTGGAGTCAGAGGGGTCTGCTGCCAGAGCTGTCTTTCCCTTGAATTCCCTGCATATTGCACTCCCTGCAAATTCTGATAGTGAAGATTGAAAACTAAGCCCTTGACACTTTGAAACATTGCCTTTCAAACATGTACTGTCCATTGCTCTCATTGATTTTTTTTTTTTTTTTTCATTTCAGAAATCTGTCGGAGAAAAACAAATTTGAACAAAATTCATTGGTCTAAGCAGAGCTGTTGGGGCAATACAATCCCCCCCTTCCCCAGCCGAGCATGATTCTCTTTCCATTAGGAATGCAATGTGTCTTCATGTTGTGCCACAGCCAAGATCACGTGGCAAAGCAGCCAAGTAAATCAGGAGCCTGTTAAAAAGCCTTATGGATGCTCTGAGCGTTGACATTTGAGTCAAATTGGCTCACGGGTTAGCTTCACTCATTTTAATAGCTGTTTTTAAGTAGATCATTTTACCAACCTTTGTTTCCCTTGTTTTCAGTCAGTACACTGCAGAATAGCTTTGCCTAAGACCACTTTATTTTCTGAACATTTGTAAGTCATAGTTTCCCAACTGTAACCTTTTTTATATGCAGATCATGGGGTTAGAGTTGTTAACGTGTTAAACAGCTCACCTGTTTCAGAACAAGTCTTTAGACTATTTAATGGACACACTGATGTGGGGATTAGAATGATGAAGGATTGCATTTGTCTGACACTGATTCTTGAGCTTTTTTCCCCACCCCCTTGTCTTCAAAAATGGGGAACTAAGAATGTAAATTGAAAGTGTTTAGAGGTGAGCTTGTAACTTGTTGCACTTGAAGCTGGTTTCAGGACAGACACAGCACTGTAGCTGTTCTTAAATTTGCAAGCAGTGGGAATGCATGCAAAATCTTGCAGATTCATGTTGTGTCCTTCATAAATTTGTCTTTCATTGGCAAGTAAAAGAGTAGAGGAGAAGGTTACTGAATGTGAATCTTTCTGTTACAATGCTATGGAGACATGCTAGCAGGTATTTTGAAGGCTAGATTTTTCTTTACTGTGGCAGAAACTTCTTTGCGAATGTTTTGTGTTTTTATGTTTAAGTAAAAAAAAAGATGAGTGTTATTTCTAAAAAGCTCACTTATATAGTGAAAGGGTTGCATCTTTCTTCTTATCTTCTCCCAAAAAGTAAGAATGCTTCATCCCTTGAGAGGAGAAACTGTCTTAACGTTTAAAAGCAAGCCCAAGTTTCAGGAGAGTTAGGACTTGAGAGGAAGTCTTTGATTCATCGTCATACTTGCCCTATAGCATAATTTCCTTGCAATACCTATTTCACAGTAGGCTTTTTTAATATGCTTTCTGTTCATATCATCTTCCATCCACGCAATGTATATGAAACACCATATATTAGCTTACTGACTGGCTGTAATTTGAATCAGGTGGTACAGATAGTAGAAGTCTGACATACAGTACTGCAGTGGTGTGTATTTTAATGTGTGTGTTTTTTATTATCCAGTTGCAGTACCATGCTGGGCTAGCATCTGGCCTTTTGAATCAGCAGTCTTTGAAACGTTCAGCCAACCAGATGGGAGTATCTGCAAAACGCAGACCAAAAGCCCAGCCAACAACTCTAGTCTTACCTCCTCAGTAAGTAATGGAATATTTTGAAGGGTATGCATGGGGAGGGGGAGGTGGGGGTTAAACTTTTTATTGTTTGGGTTTTTTTTAAATCATCATAATAGCAACTTTGCATTTTTGTTTTATACAAGATGAATTCTTCATGTTGGACAGGTGAGGTACCCTATGGAAACAATATTTTTTTTTCTTCCGTTTATGGAGACACTGTGACAACAGAAAAGTTGCAAGGACTCTTCTTTGTAGAGGGTCATAAAAGTTTTTGCAACACGAGATTGTCATTGAGGAATGATGTTCCCCTGATTAGTATGACTTGGAGCTTCAAGTAGGACTTTTCTGAAGGTCCTAAAAGGCTGAAGCCAAAAAGTCTTTGGTGTGAGTACTTTCTTGACAAACGTCTGTTCTGAGTCCATCTGTTCACCATATGTTAGTTTTGCATTGGATCTAAACCTTTTACAGGTGACAAGCAATTATAAGGACACTTAGAAACTGTTTGAGGACACAGAGTATCAACACTTTAGGCAGTCTGTGTACTGATGCCAGAAACACAGAGATATCCACAACTAAGCTTATAAATTAATAAACTGCTTAAAATATTTAGTTACATATAAGAAAATGATTATTATGTAGAAAATGAAGTGCTAAGCAATTATTCATTGTACTGAGCATCCTTGTAGTTTGTGGAAACGGCCTGCTTTTTTTCACAGAACAAGAGTCACTGATGTATAAACACTATGCTACTAAAAACTTCATACTTGTGATAATAAAAGTCCCTGTTGTCACCAGAGTCCACAGGCCTAAGTTGATGAGGAATCAAAGGAAGTTTAGAAATTTTTCCTTATATGAAATGAGGAAAAAAATCAGAGTCAACAGAGCTTTTCCCTTGTATATTAACTTTAAAGGGCTGCTAATTCAAGAATCCATAAAATGTTCTGTTGTTTTACCAACTTCAGATGAAGAAAAATGGTTAGAAAGGCAGCTCTAACAGAACTATAGGTTTGAAAACCAGATGTTGTTTCTCTTATATCTGTGAAGGAACAGGGGAATATCATGACAAACTGGCTAATTAGTTTTCCTTCCTTTGTTGGGGTATCACGTTTATCCGGAGCTTGAAATGTGTGGTGGGTTGACCCTGGCTGGAGGCCAGGTGCCCCCCAAAGCTACTCTGTCACTGTCGTCCTCAGCTGGGCAGGGGAGAGAATATATAACCAAAGGCTCGTGGGTCAAGACAAGGACAGGGCGAGATTGCTCACCAATTACTATCATAGGCAAAACAGACTTGACTTGGGGAAAAATAATTTATTACCAATCAGACCAGAGTAGAATAATGAGAAATAAAATTAAATCTTAAAACACCTTCCCTTTACCCTCCCTTCTTCCCGGGCTCAACTTCATTCCCGACTCCTGCCTGGAGCATCTTCTCCCCCTCCTTTTTCACTGGCCTTGGTGTCTGAAGTGTTGTTCCTCTCATGTATTCTGATTCCCTTCTCTGCTTGCAAATTGCTCTTAGTGTTGCACAGGTTTCTTCCCCTTCTTAAATACATGATTCCAGAGGTGCTATCGCTGTTGCTGATGGGCTCGGCCTTGGCCAGTGGCAGGTCCATCTTGGGGCCGGCTGGCATTGGCTATGTTGGACATGGGGGAAGCTTCTGGCAGCTTCTTGCAGAAGCCACCCCTGTAGCCCCCTCGCTATCAAATCCTTGCCATGCAAACCCAATACAAAATGGACTATCCAAGAAGTCTATAAACTAGAGTACTGTGATACCAGTTGTCACAGTTTTTATCCAGACATCTTAAAATATTTTGGTGGTTTGGTTTTTTTCTTTAATCATGGTTTCTCTGGTTACTAGAAATACATATAGTGAGAGAGAAAGAGCTAGCTTTTATTTTTGCATAGAAAAGTCTGTACTTAAACAGTTCACAGAATCATAGAATACTAGTTTGGAAGGCACCTCAAGGATCATCTGGTCCAACCTTTCTGGGCAAAAGCTCCATCTAGACAAAAGCACCGTCTAGGTAAGATGGCCCAGCCAAAATCTTAAGTGTCCAATTTTGGGTAAAAAAAATTGCAGCTGTATAAATCCTAATATGAGGTATGTCATATACACACTTAAAAGTATGTCTGTTTATCTGCAGGAGATTTTTTCTTCAGTGGTGCGTTTACCTAGAATTTGCAGAGAATTAAATTTTAGTGTGGTAACTAAACTTTAGCTAGTAGTTGAATTACGTTTCAGTATCTTATTACCACTTCCAGCATTATTCACAGGGTAAAATATCTTTATGCTGAACTGGCCCTTTACCTGTCCCTCCCTTCCTCCTCTCGGGCTTCTCTTTGACCTTTCCGTATGTGTCCTTATTTGCTATCTTGGTGTATCTTAAGAAGAGAATAATAGTTATTTTAAGTCAAATCGAATACCTGTTGAGCTCTATATCATGTCTTAACACAGGGCAGAAGCGGATTATGAAAAGACTTATGAAAATAGGCTTATGAAAAGTATTTTTTTAAAGAAGTATAGGAAATGGATATTAATATCTTGATTTTTCTGTAGTTTCATGCAAATAATGATGAATCATGATGTGATTTATTTTTTTCCTTCTCTTCATTGTCTATAAAATGCAAAGGAAGACGATATCCGGGTGCAAAACTACAGATCTCCTTGAAAGGGCATACTGCATACTAATTTTCCCATGGCAATTCAGGGAAATTTTTTTAGCTTTATTGATTAGTCAGGGAAGGGGTAACTATTTCTTTGTCTTTTTGCTTTGATGTATGCTATTAAAATTAAGTTCAGTGACAAGTCTTTGGGCTGAGTAACAATCTGCTATGAGTCAAGTATATATTAAGTGTTGTTCAGAGCAACTATATTCTCTAGAGCTTTTCTTAAACAGAAGTAGTTGAAACCAGCTACATGCCAAAATGTCATTTTAGGATAGCAGGTTGGAGCAAATAGCAACACTGCAGTAATCCTTTTCAGCCAGCAAAGGCATGCAGAAAACACTGCTCGGGAGGTAACATAAGCGATAATTTGGACAAAGACTCTTCTAAAAACAGGTCTATTTTTATGCAGATTTTGCATATGGATAACTTGATGTTAAACATGTCTTAATTTGAGTTAAAGGTACCATTTGGAGCATGTTAGAGAGCATGTTACTGATTTTTTTTTTTTAACTTATATTCCTTTTCCTTGAAGAAACTGCATGGGTAACTTTTCTGATTGCACGTTACATTCTTAATGACAATGATGGAAGCTGAGCAATTATCTGGTAAATCCATGTCTCTGGTCTTTACTGTTATGGTGAGACTTGAGTTTTATTCCACAGACTAAATGTGTCCAAATGGTGTCCCTTCCCAAAAAGGTGGTAATACAAAACATGATTCTTGTACTCTGTCAACTCATTGTTTACTTGAGTCCTTAGTCTCTCTCCCTGCTCTGCATTTTCTTCTCCTTTCCTCTCCAAAACGGTGCTTTTTTAAAAAAGAAAAAAAAAAAAAGAGGCAAACAAAACACAAACGCAAAACCTCTCAGCAGGTCTTGGAGGCTCAGCCATATTTTCTTACCTTAGGCTCACAGAAGGAGCTGGAGAAAGGGTTTCACTAATGGCAAAGCTGATTCTTGGTGGGCCCACTTATTTGTCCCGTGCCAGCCTTACGCTATCTTTTGATGTGCTCTGGTCTGGAGGCGAGAAGCTGTAGTTTTTCACTAGTAGATATCTGAAACAGCATTAGTAATTTTGAATCAAAAAGATATTTTTAAAAATGGAAGGACTCAGTCCTATGCGACCAGTACCAGGAAAATTTTCATTTTCTCACTGTTTTCATTATCTGAGGTCTTCTAAGGGTGCTGAAGAGTTTTGAAGACCTTTAGTTGTTCACTTTTGCTTTTCAGTATCTGTTTTCACTGGCTCTGCAAGTGGAGAAAGGAATACTAGATTGCTATGCGTTTCATTTCTAGCCAAATGAAATCTGTATGAGAAAATGACTTAACTGCTGGCTTCTTTCTCTCCCTGCTTTGTCCCTCCTTCTGTCTTCTATTAACAAGACATCTCCCTGTACTTGCTAATAGATGCGCTCCCTCACATGCTTCTCATCTGGCTGCTGGTTCCCTCCTCCTGTTAAACAATCTCAAAGCAGTGTTTGCTGAAGTGCTGAAAGCTGTCAGCTCCTTCCAAGTGACTAGGAAAGCATGCAACCCTTCTGAAAACCAGGATGACTGCTTCTGGTTTGAAATAAATACAATAAGAAATGATAGCTCTTAGTTTTTTCTTTCCTCTTAGAATATAGTAATTGACACACTTATTCTCGTATTATTTTGCTTGGTGCCATGTCTCAAAAGCAAATTCTCAGTTATCAAGTTGACTCCATGACCCTGTGGGAGCAGAGTGCTGCACCCCAAAGAGTCTAGGGTGGCTGAGAGCAGTGAGCCCACGGAGGTAGTCTCTGCCAGCGGACCGCTGTGCTGAGAGCCCAACAGACTCTGGTATGTCATTATCTAGCTGAAAAATGACAGCAATGAGTCACTGTGTGATGAGGAGGATGAAAGAAAAGAGGAAGTATAGGATGGTACCTGCAGTTATATTCATTGGCACACACAAGAGGGTCACTTAGTTTTCATAGAATCATAGAATGGTTTGAGTTGGAAGGGACCTTAAAGATCATCTAGTTCCAACCCCCCTGCTGTGGGCAGGGACACCCTCCACTAGACCACGTTGCCCAAAGCCTCATCCAACCTGGTCTTAAACACTTCCATCCACATCCTCTCTGAGCAACCTGTTCCAGTACCTCACCACTCTAACAGTAAAGAACTTCTTTCTAACATCTAATCTAAATCAACCCTCCTTCAGCTTAAACCCATTACCCCTTGTCCTGTCACTATACTCCCCAATAAACAGTCCCTCACCATCTTTCCTGTAGGCCCCTTCAGGTAGTGGTCAGCCGCAATTGGATCTCCCTGGAGCCTTCTTTTCTCTAGGCTGAACAATCCCAACTCTCTCAGCCTGTCCTCATAGGAAAG